GACTGAACACATCAACTCAAGGTTGAGGGACTGATTACCTCATTCTCCTCCTGTTCTTCAAGTTTCTCCTATGTATGGACTGATGAAGCCACTGTGTGGCGAAACGTTTCCTCAATAAAGATACCCAAGAGTTGCACATGTGTCTAATTTATCAACATGTCGGTTCTCTGAACCATTCATCTACAGACTCTGTATGTGTTACTTCAGACTTAATACCCGTTTTTATGCAACAGTTCAAGCGATCTCGGACATACAATGCCACCCCACCCCCCTTCCCGATACTTCTATCTACTTGGAACAATTTGAAACCCTGAATGTGACATTCTGCAGGCATGTCCCGACTTTTTGAATTAAACCACGTCTCAGTAATGGCAAATACATCTATGTTACCTGCACTAGCAACTAGTCTCAACTCGTCCATCTTATTCCTAGCACTGCGACTATTTGTGTAATAAATATTTAATGACCCTCCTCTCTCTTTTACCCTTCCTGCTCCTTTCTGTTATTCCACTAAACCTATTACTGTCCTTGTCAATTAGTGCCACTGGCTTTCCAATATCCACCTCATTTTGCCTATTACTAGTTCTCCTAGTACTCATGTTACTACCCTGCGACTTCACAGTTTTCCCGCCAAAACCCATACCACTAACTATTCCTAGTTTAAAGACCTAACAGCTCCCTCCACTGCGTTGGCCAGTGCTCCCACCCCACACCTAGATAAGTGAACCCCATCCCTGGCATACATGTCATTTCTGCCATAGAAGAGGTCCCAGTTGTCAATGAATGTTACCGCATTTTCCTTACAGTATTTGTCCAGCCAGCAATTGACACCAATTGCTCTGGACAACCATTCATTTCCAACTCCTCTCCTTGACAGGTTTCCCACCCTTCCTCCTAATTATCTCTATTGCTGACCTATACCTGCTAATCAGGTCCTCACTTCTACGTCTGCCAACATCGTTGCCTCCAGCACTGAGACAGATAATAGGATTGCTCCCATTACCTCTCATGATGTCATCCAGACGGCTAACAATATCCTTCATCTGATAGTTCTGACAGTAATGGAAGTGGAAATGATGAATTCTACGGCTTTGATCAGTTAGTGACCAAAAAGAATGACCAGGATATCGATAATAGTGCAAAAAAACCCCTGATCACCCCTAAACCCCTTCTACCCTGGTGGTGGGCATTTCGGGGACCCCACGGTGGGTTTGTTCCTAAAACGAAAGGGGAAAAAAAATTTAATATTTTTCCTTGTGGTTTCCAAGGGCCTCCCCCCTTCATTAATGATGATGATAGGACGGGGAAATTGTGTTTTTTATTGCGCCCCAAAACTTTCATTAAAGTAGGATTGTGAGAATAAATTTCCCACCAGTGAATTTTTCGGTAGGGCTAAACGCCGCATTCGCCCCGGGTGGGTTTTCCCCTTTATGCTGCCCCAGGGGGATGGAGTCCCCTCCCCGGGTCCCATCCCCCAATTGGCCCAAAAACCAGTTTTTAAGGTAGTGATGGGGAGGATGTGTGGTTAATTTTGGCTTTAAATAGACCACAGGCATAAAGTGGTTTGGTGTTAATGGGGGATGGTTTAGGGCACCCCCAAATGGCGGACTCACCACCCCACGCTGGGCCCCCACGCTGTGCTCGTCAGTTAAAGGACAAAGGGGAGGTCGCCACCACCCAAACCCACAACCAAACCACCCTCAAAACCCCACCCCTATGATGTCCAGTTTCCACCGGGCCAAACCGTATGTGGGTTGGCAGCAAAATCCCAATTTTGTTCCAAGCCTCACCACTTTGATGACTCTCAAAAGTGGAATTCAACCTACTTCCCCCTTGGAACCAGGGCCAATGAACTGGAATTCTTTTTAATTATTCTTTGACCAGGGCCTTGATGGAAAATATTGTCAGGGAAAATAAAAGTATTTTGAGTACACCCTGGGCAAATACGACTTATCACCAAAAGTTCCCAAAACTACACAGGTGGAAAGAACGGGTGGTTTCAGAAAAGTTTTTTGCTTTTTGCAACAAAAATTTTTATGCCTCATGTGTATAAGGGATAATTTTAAAAGAAAATGGTTCACAGATCGGCAATTTTTTAAACCCCGGGCTTCAGTGAAATCTACCAGGGAAAAGGTTTATCTAAACCCTTTCGTAGTTGCACCCTTTTCTGAAAAACCAGGCCTGACAGAAGGACGGTTATACAGATTAGAAATTTTTCATGTTTTCCAAACAAAAAATTCGCATATACTTTTAATTTCCCTTCAAGAATTTTTGTAATTGACGAGTCTTTGATTTTGGGTTTAAAAGGGAACTGGGCATTCAAATAGTACAAAACCGAGCAAGAGGAAATGCTTTGGGATAAAAAAGTTTTTTGTGCTCTTTGGGTTGTACAGTGGTGGTGTTGGATATTTTTGTTACACGGGTTTGTAAAAAAAATTTAAAATACCAAGGGTGTTTTTGGGTATCTCGGGTTTACGTATGAAAACCTTTATGGCCCCCTTATCTTGGTAAGGGGCCTACAAATTTTATAACCCATAACTGGACAAAGCCCCTTACTCAGTGATTTCAAGCAATGAAAAAGACAGAGGTGTGGCCCCGCTTTTAAAACGTAAACAATGCCCAGGCTCACGCAGGTGCTCGTGGTGAAGGGGCGTGCAGGTTTTTTACTGGCCAAAAGACATCATGGCATTACGGTGGCATGGGCCCAAAAAGGATGTCACATTATTTACAAACCCTTCACCGTAATGAAATGCAAGCAGTGGCCCCAAATTATCGAGTGACTAATGAACGTACGTGTATTTTGGAAAAAACCCGTGACAGGATTGAAATTTTACACCAAAAAATCCCCTTGGGGTTGGGCAAATGTGACATGAGAATTTTTTTTTTTTGGGTTTACCTTTTGTTCGTTTTGAGTTACAAGTGGTACAAAAAATTTTCTTCCAACTCATGGCATTTCAATGCTCAATGCATATAAAAATGTACCAAATTAAAAAACTGGCAACAACCCCCTATGGTTAAATTTTTTTGTCTGTTTTCAGACAACTCTTTTTGGTACCAGGGAAGAACAACCCCGCTATTCAAAAAGGTCCCCCGAATTCCTCAGGGTAACCCCAACGTTTGAGGAGGGGGAAAGGGGGTCATTTCTAATTCAAAATTCCTTCAACCCCGAAGAAATTTGCTCAAAAAGAGAAAGGGGATCGTCCCGTCACAAACAAAAAGCGGGAACAAAAAGCAAAACAATCGGTGTTTTGTGAGGAATGTAAGGTTTTCCTCTGTGCATGGTGCCTTGTTTTAAGGAGTTCCCCAAGCTCCAGCAGTTCTAAAACCATGTCCAGTGATTGTAAATATGTAAATATATGATAGAACATTAGTATTATACAAGATTTGTGCATGTTTATTGTAATAAACAACAGTGGTAAACAATAATATGATAATAACTTTAGTGCGGTTATTGTGTTCAATACAGTGAGTTTATATATATACATTATATACAGTATTGGTCTCTCAGGCCCCAAATGTTAGTAGGAATAGAAAAAAAATTGGAAAAGAAAAGAAAAAAATGTAAAAACTGCAAAATAATGTAATGCGCGTATGTGGAATTCGTCGATGTTGCCGCCACCACATCATTTTTGACAAACTTCTTGGCACTGTATCTCGGTAAGTACTGATCAGAATTTTTTTTTTCTTATTACCTTCACAAAAATATGCTCTTTAATTCTGTAAGAAAAAAATAATTTTTTTTTTTTTTTCAAAATTTCTTGGACACTGGAGCACCACTTCAGATTTTGGCCTTGGACCCTGAAGGGGTTAATATCGAATACCGGGGGGCCACTGTATATACATCTGTCTTGACCACACCTGTGGTTACATATGTGACAACCTCACCACTAATCATAGATAAACACAAGCTAGGTGTGGGATTATGGACTGGGAAGATACTAGAGTGGGAAAGTAAATGGCACGAGGATGCTGCCGCCGGTGTTGCCATCACTTGCCATATTATGGCCTATTTTATTCATTTTAGAATATATATCATGTTTCTGTTATTAATATTGTTTATTATGTCATACTTGATGAATTGTGAAAGATAACTAAGCCGTAGAGTTGATATTTGCATTATTTTGTCATGCCTCCTGAGAAGCTGGAATGGATTAATTGCATTTCAGTTAATTTAAATGAGGAAAATTGACTCAGCATATGAACAAATCAGGATATGAACAAGGTCACGGAACGGATTAAGTTCGTAAGCCAAGGTTCCACTGTATAGTATCCTCTTCACTTAGCGACAAATTCGTTTACTGACATGGTCTTAGGAACAGAACTCCGTTGTTAAGTGAGGAGAGGCTGTACATACTTAGTTGTCAAAATTCAGTACTGTATGTCATTAATGAGTTTATCACTTTCTGTTGATAAAATAAAAATTGTATGACAATACCTAAGCAGAACTTTACAATATTTATTAGCTTCGAGTCTATCATGGACTTCTCATAGTTGAGGGAAGTTTGCTGTAAACAAATTTTCACTTAAAATATTAAGCTAAACTGGAGATCTCTACAAATAAAGCATAGTATACAGGTGAATCTTAAGATATACTGTTAATAGACATATTATATCCTCTTCCAATTGTTTTGTTACAGGTGATTTATATGATTTTTTAGTATAATGTGGCATTGAAGAATTCATGCTATTGCTTTTTCTAAATACAGAGGCAATTAAAATTTTAATAAATGTGAGCTCCAGTAAGCTGGCCTTTGTGTTGTGCTAGTATTCCTCACTCAGATATTTTAGCATTACGTGAAGTCATTCTTTCAGTCACTGAAAATTTACTTGTTTGTAATCAGCATTTCCAGCAATATAGAATAGTGCATATTTTGACATTTAGAGGAAGTGTATATGTTAACCTCTGGCTAAGCATAGGCACATTATATTTGAAAAGAATATCTAAGAGTTACAGAGTGAAATAAATGATTTTGTCATGAGAGAATGTTTGATATTTTCAGGGCGAGACTGTGGATGAGTGGTATAGCTTAACTGGCAAACTTGGAGATGGTCAAGAAGGCACAGTTAATATTGTCATGTCATACTCGGTAAGTCACTTTTGATAAATGTATATTAAAATATTGCACATCATAAATGTTGTGATTTTCAGTAAGGTTCAAAAGGAATCCAGTATTGTTTTTTATGTGTTTAGGAGAATTATTCCAGAAGTCATCTTAAAAAATGGGTAACAGTATGAAGATACTTGAGAGAATAGTAATTTATTGTCATACAGTACTAAGTATATTCAAATATGGTACATAATATTTTTGGTTTAAAATGACTAATAGTTACCAGTAGTAGGTGAGCCTGGGCTATAAAAGAAGGGATTTGAATTCATTTAAAAAATATGATATTTACATAGTCCCTCCTACAGCTAGAGAAAATGTAATCATATTTTACTCAGCTGTGTTCCTTGTCCCGTTATATTTCTGCCTAGTTACTTCCCAAGACAGCAAGCAGTCCTTAAAGGCAGGAGATTTCTGTTTGGATTTACAGTGGATCCTCAGCTAACGATATTAATCCGTTCCTGAAAGCTCATCGTTAGATGAAATTTTCATTAGCTGAATTAATTTTCCCCATAAGAAATAATGGAAATCAAATTAATCCGTGCAAGACACCCCAAAGTATGAAAAAAATTTTTTTTTACCACATGAAAATGTTAATTTTAATACACACAAACTGACACTTACCTTTTGAAGATCTGGTGATGATTGATGAGATGGGAGGAGGGGAGAGTGTAGAAGTTGTTAATGTTTAGAAGAGAAATCACCTTCCATTAGGACTTGAGGTATCAAGCCTTTTCGGGGGTTCTTCCCTTCTTTTTTTTAATGTCACAGGCCCAGCTTAAAGGGTCACGGCCTCGTCCACAACATATCTGTCCATAGAGGCCTTACCCCCCGCCCTTTATGATTGCTAAAGGGTTTCACAACTTGTCATTGAAATAGTCCCAGCACGCTTGAAATACTTTTTGGGGGGAATTTTCATCCAAAAAAGGTTTGCACTTCAACCCACTTTGCCACTTTTCCCTTTAATCTCTTTCTTCATATCCTATAATTCTCCCCTTTTTTCCTGCAGGGTTGGCATTAGAAGCTTTCTTTGGGGCCCTGGTGACTTTTTTTGAGGTACAGTCACTAAAAATGCGTGATAAATGAAATGTTCTGATTGTAGCATGGATGCACGCACGGGCTGGCTTTTAAACACGGCACCCACGCGCATTCGAACGAATCGCTTGGGGTGATTTTTTTTAAAAGCGAGCTGAGGAAAAAAATTTTTGCGTTAAAATGTATTTTTTGGCTGGATTTAACATTGCTGATCCATTTACAAAAAACGTGATTCAAAAAGTTTAGAGATCCCAGTGAATACTAAAAGGGATCCCTTTCTAGCATCCGCCTTTTACGGGTTTTCGAAACAATTTCAGTATCCTTGTTAAATTTTATCCATTAAAATTTCAAAATTCAGTAGTGCTTCAGGTTTTAAAACGGTAGGCTACAAACTAGAAAAATTAAAATTTAATAAATTTTATTAAATATTTCTAGAGGATTTTTATATTAAATTAAATAAAATAAAAATGATAAAAAATAATCACTTCTCCGAAAAAATAGTATTGTCTGAAACAATACACATTTAATTCTTAAGTACCGTCGGTAATTAACATTTTAAAAAGAAAATCAAAAATGACAATAAAGTTTGTGTATGTGTTAAGTGCTTAAGTATTCGCTATGTCTCTAGACTCGACTAACTTAAAAAAGTGATGAAAAGCCCCTAAAATAAATAACTTCTTGACCAACGGCAATCAGAACAGTCTGCTTGAACAATAAAAAAAAAGCTAATAGCAAATAACAAGCAAATGCGACACAAAACAGGACAAGGAGATAATATAACGACACTAAGTAGGACCATCGCAATCCTCCCCAGTCGCCAAAATCCCCTACCTGAACTAATTTTAGCATAAGAAAATCCCCCACTGGATAAACACAGATACCATACAATTAGGTCAGAAGTACGCTCAGGGACCTGATTTTTCGAGTGTCTAGCGAACACAACCCGTACAAAGTCGAAAACCTAAGTCTAACCTGTTTGTGAACAGTTCCAAACTAACAAAAATGAGACGAACGATTTCCCAAAAAGGCCCATAAGGGGATTTAGGGATTTTCTGGAATAGTCCAAAACCACCCAGTGGTCTAGACCAGACTGAATACTTCAGGCAGGAGGCACCCCCCCCCCCCGTCCTGATAGGTCCGTGGGCGTTGCCCAGCAAGAAGCCGCGGGAAAAGAGCAAAGAGCGATAATTCAGTTTAACAATCAAGCTTTAACTGACACAAAATTTACATCCTACCTAAAACATAAATAAGTCAAATAATAATATAAAAGCAATACATTTACAATTTAGCTATTTTTCGCAAATATAAGCAATAAAAATTAATTTAAAAAAAATAAAATTTTTAATTACAATTAACATTGCAAACCCCTTCGGGGTTCAAAACCCCCCCAACACGACAAACGGTCGCACTAGAGTTGCCCTTAATGCTTTCACATTATGATTATCAGGTTTCATACTAACAGTTTAATATAAAAAATAAAGGGCAATTTTTCCCAAACATCTATAAATTTTACAGTGTTATACAATAAGATATGCCTCTAGACTAGGGGAGTACACAGATCGGATCTCCGCATACTCGTGGGTTTTGTACATCATGCAGAGACGGATAGCGCAGACAAGCCTGACACTTGAGGCCGAATGTAGTAGTGTAGACAGAAATAGTCTTGTGTTATAGCGGGAGCGCTTTCCCCACTTTAAGTATGGTTGTGGAATGTAGCAGAAGGGCACTGGTATGAAACGTTTAAAGGTGTGTAGGGGGGGGGGGGGGGGTTGGGGCGGAATTGTTGCCCCACACACAGTAACATCGCCCACACAACACTACCCACTATCACTCAGTTCTTTCCCCTTCACCATATCAATACTGGAATAAAAAATATAATAAAAAACATGAGATTTATTTTAATATGGGCTGGAGGGGAAAAGTTACCACTGAATTTGACATAGAAGTAAAAAAAGGAATTTGGGGCAAAAAAATTACTTAATTTAATGTAACTGATAATTAATTTAAAAGGGCATACAGAGCGCAGCAATTACATTACAAACCACTTTTGGGGTTTTTTTAAATAAAAGAATAAGGTTGGTTCTGAGAGCCCATCTATATCCTAGCATTTTTACTCTTCATGTGTTATGTAGGTGATGGATTGTGGGCTGAAAAAAAAGTTAATTTTAAAAGGGAAGTGCCCCAAAAAAAACGTCAAAAAGCCAAGGCCCACAAGAAAATAGAGCCCTTTTTCAATAGGGCTAATTTTTCTGGTGTGTTTAATTTAGATGAATATAAAATATAGGATGGAGAATGTCAGGATGTTGACTGTTGGAGTAGCACAGCACCCACTGCATAGCCCTTTCATCTAATGTAAAAAGGGAAGATGAAATTTGGACTTTTCAACACAGGGGCAAGTGCAAGCGCTTCAACCTTTTTTAAAAAGAGTCTGAACAACTCTAGTCCCGGGGAACTGAAAATTTTCTACTAGTAATCAGTGAAGGGGCTGCAATCTGAGAAAAGTTTGGGAAAAAACCCGCGATAATATCCTGCCATACCCAGGGAAACTCTGAACCTCCCTTCCTATCCTGGGAAACCGGGAAATTCAAAATTTCCCAAAAACCCTTTAAAGCCTCAAAAGGAGCAACCTCACCGGGCCCCGATACAAAAACCCTTTAGATAGGAAAATTTTTGGCTTGACCAAAACACATTTTAGCTTTTTTTAAAAAGTGAATTTTGTAGTGTGCCAGTCTCTCAAACAATGCCCCCGGACCGTAAAAGTCCCTTTTCCCACTCGCCTGAAACACCACAAAGGGTCTTTAAAGGAAGGTTTTTTACCCCCTTCAAAATTTTGTGGGTCAACCCCGTTCATTATATTTGGGGAATGAAGAACCGGGCGTTCAAAAGGCCGAAAGGGGTGACGGGGGTATTTTAAACCCAAATCCATTTGAACAGTAAAAGCAATATTTCTTGAGCCTTCAGTGAGCTGGACGGGAAATACCCTTTGGGAAGAATCTAAAGGGCTGACAAAACTGGGATCCAACACACTCAAAAAAGGTCGTCAATGCGAGGTAGAGGAAAAACCATCAGAAAGGTGACAAATTTCACTTTCTGAAAATCATGAACACCCTAAAAAAAAACCGCCCGGTTTTAGGCACAAAATACAGGGAGATCCCATGGACTTTTACTGCCTCAACAACCCCGTGGATAACAAAAAAATCAACGCTCTTCTCTCAATGTTTTATGCTTTTTTGGGACTCACCCTATAGGGTGATTGCTTAAGGGGTTGATTTTCCCCTTAAACACAGCGAAAAGAACACCAAGAGTAAAAAACGTTTAGGAACATAAAGGAAAAATTTCCCAGGAAATGCAAAATCATGTTTTTTTAAAATATCACTATTTTTATCAACCCCCCCAAGGTTTTACAAAAAAATCGTCTAGTGATTGTAAGTCACTAAATTTTTTCTAAACGAACCTCTATACCTCTAGAGATATCAGGTAACTAAATTTTTTCCCTTCCTCTTCCTAGGAAGAATAGAATTAGTGGGTAAGGGACTAGCGTAGTATGCTTAAGTTTGGGTTTTAAAATGGTATACATGAAAAAGAAAAATTTTTTTCCCCCGGCGTACTAAACCCAAAAAAATTTTCGTCCTAAAACTTTTTCCTTTCTTTCCCGGGGGGCCCTAAAACCCCCGGCTTTTAACATGACCCCGGTATAATTTTCCCCACCACAAACCCATCTCCTGTTTAAAAGAGCGAGAGACACACGCTTTTTCATAATGTTGCTTCCTCTACTTGGGCGAAAATAGGTTTTTTTTGAACCCAGCTCTAGGGCGTCAAAAAGTTGCTGGGATTAATGAAGGTGAAGTACTCATGATGGTTTGAAATTTTTCCCGTCCCACACGCCCCTTTTAACACTGGGGGGGAGGACCCGCACGGGGGTCCCCCAATATTAAATTTAAAAAGGACAAACCCCAGACTTTTTTTGTTCACTTTCC